CCTCGCTCCGCCTTGCCTGCTCTTTCTCCTCCCCAGATGGCCGCTCCTCCTGTGGCATCCTCCTCGCTGCCCGCGGCGGGCTTTGCCCTCCTCTCGAATCCGACGCTGGCGGAACGCCTCGAGAAGGTCCGGGATATTGGGCCATCTTGCCGCGTGTTGCTACCCATGCTGACCATCTGTTTTGCCTATTCCGCCCGGACACAGGATCTGGACTCCCGTCGTGAGGAGATTCATGAATGGGTGTGCGTTGGCCTCTCCCGCCCTGGGGTCCGGCCAGCCGGCGGCGGCCCCTGTCTCCCCTTCCACCCTGCCATCATCCTTCCTCCCTCGCCGCTTGCCCATGTGCCCACCGGGGGTGCTTGCTGCCCGGGAGCCGCCTGCTGTCGACTGATTTGCCTGCCTCCCCCCCCCCTCGTACAGAGACAACCTTGAGACATCCTTCCGCGATGTCGCCCAGCAGAAGCTCCCCGCAGTGGACTCGCAGCTGAACTCGCTCGCAGCTGACATCCACTCGAGTCAGCGCCAGGTACGCGGGCGACCATTCCTCCTGGCCCATTGGTTGCGCGCCTGACCCTCTGACCGCCACTCGCGCCTGGATTTGACAGCTGGCGACGCTTTCCGGCCGGACAATCGCCACCGGAACCCGGCTCGCGCGTCTGGAGAAGAAGGTGCGTCAAAAGCCACGCCCGAGGGAGGCTTGAGCCAGGGGGGGGGGGGGGGGCGGATGCATGCTCATGCTCGGCGTCGACCTGGTCCTTTGACCACTGACCGCATATCTGCCCGCGACCAAGATCGCCAACACGTCCTTCTCATTGCGGTTCTCGGCCGAGGGCTCAAGGGCGTCTGCCAGCAATGGACAGCCCGAAGTGTACGTTTACAACCCGCTCCTCGCCATCCCCTGAGGGCTAAGGGCCGTCGCACGCCTCTATTTTTTTTTCTCTCGCCGGTGCGCCCCGCTCTTTCCCCCGGCTAACGTGTGGCGCATACTCCCCCTCCCCGCCCTGGTATCCTCACCAAAAAAAAAAAAGCGGCACTTGGAGCGTGGTGGTCCTGACGGTCGGGATCTCCTGCGGGGCCCTGCTCCTGGCGGGGCTTGTGCTGCATCTTCTGAACCCGAGACTCAGTGTCCTGTGAAATAAGTCACGTTTATCCCTCCATCTGTAGCGCTCCTTGGGTGATAGCAGCTGCCGGCGCTCCTTGCACAGGCATGTGCGCGGGGCGCGTCCTAGGGTTGGGCGAGACAGCGTGCAACAGGAGGAACATGGGGGGAAACGTGAAAAGGGGGTTAGCCAGGGAGCGCGCCTCGGCGCCCGGTCTGGGCGGGGTCGCGCACTCGCCCACCTCTGTCCCCCGCCCTCCCCCCAGGCAGCCTCGGTGGGAGGTACCGATGCGAGCGCGAGCGCGCGCGCGCGCGCGGC